TACTTCTGAACCATATTTGAACCACTATCTGAACCATACTAATGAATAAATCGTTGGAATTCAACAAAAAAATATATGTGTTAATTCGCTAACGAATAACATATAACTCATATAACTTTTTAGTCACATGTTACTTTTATGTTATATTCACGTTATATAACTGTAACATGTATGAGTAGGAAATTACAACGAACGTCTATATAACCTACTACATGTTATATTGCATACATGTTACATTCCGTTTTATTACGGCAATGTAACTGTATCTGTGTATTTTATATATCTGTGTTTGCTGGGTTATGTCCCGATTTTAGTTTTTATGTTGTCTGGGTAAATATATACTAAGTGATAACTGTAAAATGCACTAACTATTAACCAAACTATAAACTGTTATTTAATCGATGTCATATTAATGTAGACGAATTATTGACATTGACTTGTTATCTTATAGATACGTTTCAAAAGTTAACTTCAAGAACGTTAACCAATAGGCAATACCTGCTCTACTTGGGTTATCCGTTATTGTCGAGTGAGCAATCTTGATTGAATTCAATTTAAGTCTTCGCGTTAATATACACGGTTGAGCTTCGCGCATGTACTTGGCTCGCGACACGACCATGTTTTCCATGACTATTCGTTTTTAATAAAATTTGATAGAATGCTGAACTCCAATCCTGCTCAATAATAGAACACTTACATCGAATATGTCGGGTGGTCCTCTGTTCAAATATCGGCACGTTTGTATAATACCCACTGCCGGTACCGCCACTATCGGTATCAGCTGAATTGCAGTCCCGAATTGTCTTGCCCACAAAGCCCAGTATTCTTTGCCGGTACGACGATAAGTGTAGAGTTCTCGAGAGAAGCTACTGCTCTTGAATATTGTGATAGTAAGAACCTATGATATAAAATAATATCTTAATGACGGAATGTTGTTGCGAGTGAACGCACAATCTGATATATACCAGATATATATGAATAATTATACCAAGTCTAATGACTTACCAGTAAAGTCACCGGGAGAATAACGTTCCATGTAAAAGACAAGAGAGGCCCAGCCCAGTATCTGAGACATCGTCCTGTCGGTGGGAATAATTCGGCTACGACTGCCTCCCCGGTATGTGGACGCCCGCGAACAGCGAACACGGCGCCGACTTGTATTAAATATAAGATGATTATCCACCATGCCCCGCCGACGGTGTAATCGAGATAATATACAACATAAATGCCAAACTGCAAACATATAACAAATATAACATATAGATGAAATGTAATATTCTTTTTATTTACATTTATATGTGTATAGAAAAGTCTTGAAGTGTTTCATAAGTGTTTCTGAGTTTATACTAGTATAAAATTGTTCTAGAGGATTTAAATGACACAAATTTCCATTAGTACTCCTTATCTTTGCGTTTAAAAAATAGCAGTATGTAGAATTTTATAATTTTCATCAATTTAATAAAATTTAAAAACTTATAATTTTTTGTTAACTCTAATTAAAAACATTGGCAGAAATTAATATCTACATAAATACTATAATGCAAAATAGAGATGATAATCTTATTTTCAATTTCTATTCAAACTTTTACTGTAAAAAAATATAGAATAATAGTGCTGTAAAAAATATGAAATAATAGTGCTGTAAAAAATATGAAATAGTCGATTTCTTAAATTGAACTTAAAGTTGAGTAAATTTCACATTTTCCTGTAGCGCGACTAATTTACCGGATAGATAGAGATAATTTAAACAATTTTCATCTCATAAAGTTAATATACTCTTTTATTGTTACATTGAAATATTTACAATAAAATATTTTTCTTAAAAGTTGATACACTTATTTAACATCGTAGGATTGAAATATGTGTTATAAAATTTTTCTCTGAAAAGTTCATATGAGAGAAAGAGAGAGAGGGGGGAGAGAGGAAGGGACAGAGAGGGGGAGATAGGGAGAGGGAGAAGGGGAGGGAGGAGGGAGGAGGGAGGGAAGAGAGAGAGAGAATCGAGTATTATAATATTAATAATATAATACTCGATTAAAATAATAAAAATGAAAAAATTTTTTGTATGTTGCCTTTTTTTTAAAGATAGGAATGCAAATGGAAAGGACCCCGCACAAAACCTATGGAAAATGGTTTTCGGTCAAATTGG